ATCTGAGATGAATAGCATACTTGAAGATTTTGAAGAAAGAAAACGAAGAATTCAAGAGCTCGAAGAGGAAAGATAACAAAAGAATGATGAAATATGTCTGAAAGGTAGGGTTGGAATATTATCCTCGATAGAAAGCAGGCAGAGATTGGGTCATGTATGCAAAAATTCTCCACAAAAAGTCAGCAAGTGGATGAACTCACTGGCGAAATGGAAGAGTTACATATAAGGTTTGAAGAAGAGTTGAACATATCTCAAGCCATGAATGACAAGCTTAAAAGCTACATCTCATAACTTGAGCAATCTCTACTTCAAGTGCAAGTTTTGCCTGCATCCATGGACTTAAGAGTTTCTCTTGAAGAGAACAAGGCTTTACGAAAAGAAATCAGAGGGTTGAAGGGCGAGCTCTAGCGATGTCGGATTCAAATCACTAACCTGGAAAAGGAGATCAATTGTATCAATGATGGGTGGAAAGACACGTATGAATATTACCACTCTTTGGTAGGAGAAAGAGAACGTATAATGGGTGAGGCCATAGCACAAATGGGTGAAGTAGTTCGATATACTAATGAATTGGCTAACAGGGTTGAGATCATCCAACTCCAAACTAGTCCAATCTCTGAATATACGAGGGAGATCATCGCAATCATGAATGAAATTGTAGAGTTGAGCTTAAGGGCTAGACCTTATCTGTAATCAAACTCCTTTGTAATGAGAAAAACTTTTCATCAAATGAAAGTTATTAGAAAATGATTAATGCTAGGATCAACGCTTTTTATTTGTATTTACACTTACATCATTTATTCCGCATAAACATTCATTTCATCATTCGTAATACATTACTAATAACTTATTTATATTTAAGAGAAAATAAAATTAATTCATTGAGGATTATATGATAAAAGATACTAGAAAGAAAAAATAAAAATCTTCACCGCACCTGAAGCAAAACCATAGAGGCTAAGATCGAACAACTAAAAAAGGAAATGCATGAAGATTTGTCGAGGATACAGTAAGAATGGGAATAAAAAATGGAACAATCGCAGAAATCAATCATAGACTGTATCTTGCAAAGCCAAACTAGTATGGCAAATGATATTGTGGCTAAAATGTCTGGGTTACATGCTTAAATAGCAAAAGAGCCAAGTACAACATTGGTTAAAGATTCTGAACATGCCGTATCGAAATCTACCCTGAGATTGGTTATCTCGCCTGAAAAGCTTACTGAGCATCCCACAGGATCTTCTACCGTCAAAGATCAAATGGCTACAATAAAATCCCCAAAATAGCCCACATGAATACACTGCTATAGATCACAAAGAAATTGAGAAATCCAAGACTGAGGTACTAGAAAATCTGAAAGGATAGTGCAAAGACTTTTTCAAAGAAATGGGAATACAAGGCTCTCAGGATGGGATGGATGCAGTAGAATTAAGCTTGGTGCCATATTTAATTTTACCCCCGAAGTTTAAAATGCCTTAATTTGAGAAATATCAGGGTAAGACTTGTCTCGTCGCACATTTGACCATGTTTTGCAGGAGGATGACTGGTTTTGTAAAGGATGATATATTACTGATTCATTGCTTTCAAGTGAGCTTGACAAGATCAGTTGTAAGGTGGTATAACCAGTTAACCCGTGCTATGATAGGGTCGTGGAAAGATTTAGCAAATGTTTTTAAAGAACAATACCAACAGGTTACTGATATGATGCCTGATAGGGTTACTCTTCAGAATATAAAATGAAGCATAATGAAAGTTTTTGCCAGTATGCACAACATTGGAGGGATATTGTTGCCCAAGTACATCCATATTTGGTTGAAAGGGAGTTCATAACGATGTTCATTGATACGCTAAAGTCTCCTTACATAGATTACATGTTAGGGGTGGCAACCAAGAGTTTCTCCAACATTGTGATGTGTGGAGAAATGATTGAGAGAACTTTAAAAAAAAGCAAATAACTAGTGGTCAAAACTCTACGAAAAAACCCTTTGTAAAAAAAAGAATGAGAAGTAAACAATGTGAATTTCTCTATGAATAAAACTAAGGTTGGAAATTCTTCATCCCAAGGGGAAGTAAAGCTCAAGAATAATACTGAAAAGGCGTTGTTTACTCCAACTCCGATGACCTATAGTGAATTGTTCCAAGGATTATTCAAAGTACACGTGGTATCACCAAAGTTCGCGTATCTGATCAAATTACCATTTTCGAAATGGTACAATGAAAATGAGACATGTGAATATCATGCAAATATCTGAGGGCACACCATTGAAAAATGTCTTGCTTTCAAAAGGGTTATAGAGGATCTGATCAAGAGAAAAGTGGTGTCATTCAACGACTCAGAGAAACCATGTGCTACTGCAAACCCATTTCCAAACCACCAAAACCAAGGAGTTAATGATGTTGAGGAGAATTGAAGAATTAAGAGAACGATCGAGGAACTAAGAACACCATTGAAATGGGTATTTGATCAAATTAAGAAAACATGGTATTGAGTTCCATAAAGAAGTTTGTAGCTAAAAAATCAGATAGTTTTTGTGAATACCATTGCGAAGATGGTCATCAAATCCAAGATTGTCAAGATTTTAAGCAAATAGTCCAGGAATTGATGGACAAATAGGAATTACAATTTTTCGAATGATGGACAATAAAGAATGAAGGAAATGTTTATGCTTCAGAAGAGAGTTCAGGAGAAGTTGAAAGAAAATTAAAGAAACCAATTCTGGTTATATCAAAACCAAACTATGAGGCTAGCAAGGGAAGTACAACATCTAGAGTGCTGATCAAGACAACGATACCTTTTCCCTACAAAAGTAATCAGAGTGTCCCTTGGAATTATATATGCCAAATCAATGCTCCTGAGAACCATGAAGAAGAGATCGATGAAGTTGGAGGTTTCACTAAGAGTGGGAGGTGCTACGCCCTTGGTAAAGCTAAAAAAGCAAGAGCTGCTATGATTGATGAGCTCGAGGACAGGATTAATGAACCTGTCAAGATTGAGAAGGCTCAAGAATTTTTGAAGTTTTTGAAACACAACGAGTACAATATTGTACAACAACTTCATAAAATTCCAGCACAAATTTTGATGTTATCTCTCTTATTATACTCTAAGGCACATCGAAATATACTAATAAAGGTTTTTGAACGAGATCTTTGTAGGAAATGACATACATGTGGAACGTGTGGACAGAATGGTAAATCACATCAATACATATAACTTTATTTATTTCTATGATAATAAGATACCTGAATAAGGTAAAGGCAGATGCAATGCATTACACATTATCGCTCATTACAAAGGAGTTATTATCTTTGGGGTGTTAATTAACAATGTCATGCCATTTGATACATTAAATAGACTCCTAGTGGATACCACTCAAATGAGGATTTCTAGCAATGCAATGCAAGCATTTGATGGGACTGAGCGCAAAATCATGGAGAAGATAACAATACCTCTCAGAATTGTCCCCATAACCTTCGAGGTGGATTTTGTTATCATGGACATCCATCCAAATTACAAATGCTTCCTTGGGAGGCCGTGGATTCACATGGATAGAAAAATTCCTTCTTTCCTCCACCAAAAGGTTTGATTTATTACTGATGGAACTCTAGTGACCATCAAGGTAAAAGAAGATATTATCACTTCTATCACCACTGATGCACCATATGTAGGGGTAGATGAGAATGCACTAGAGTCGTCGTTCCAGTCTTTGAAATTTGTCAATGCCACTTTCATTCCTGAAGGCAAAAGAATTCCCACTCCTCAGCTTTCAAAGAACACGAAAATGCAGCTAAAAGAGACATTAGTTCAAGAAGCAAAAATTGGGAAATGTTTGGGCAAGAGACTGCAAGGCATCACTGAAGGGTTAGCCCCATCTCCTAAAAGGAATTACTTTGGTATCAGATATAGTTTAATCTATCATGATAGAATCAAGGATGCACAAAAACTCAGGGAAAGAAGAAAAGCAAGAGCAGACAGAGAAGATGTTGTTTGGGGGTCTATGGTCATACCACCTATCTTTAAGACTTTTGTAGCTGGAGGATTTGTTACCTGACATACTGAAACAGCTGTGGGATGGTGAAGAAGATGTAGTAGTTGAAGCTTTGATAGGAAGCTTGAGCATCAATGCCAACAACAAATGATTCTACTGGAGAATGGTCATTGGCATTGATTCGCCCATGCCCTCATGGTTATATTTTGAACAACTACACTGTTGAAGAACTCGTTGTATTCTATAAGCACTCTTCAAAGTAATACATAATAACAAACATGTCTCTTTTTTACCCAAATAATTACCCAAATAAAGTAGGGTTATTTTTGTAAAGACGGATTGTTATTCATCGTTACATTAATGAAATAATGAATTCTCTTCATTTTCTCCACAGAAAATATCTTATTTATTTACCTCTTTATCATAGTTTTTCTTTGGTAAATATGAAATAAAATTCTTGTCCACATATGAATATACTATTTTCCATTCACATGCCTCCAGATATCAATTGTTCGAATAAAGATATATCCAAACCACAAATTGATTTTGAAAATAACATATGTCTTGAAGAATCTGAGGGTTGTAAGGATGATGAGGAATGCGAGTTGAACCCTAAATATTTTAGAATGATAGAACATGAAAATAAACAAATTTTTCCCCATAAAGAGAAAATTGAGACAATAAATTTGGGGACAGATGAGGACAAAAATGAGGTCAAGATCGGCATGTCGCTCTCATAAAAAATAAGACAATAACGCTAAAACCTTCTACAAGAATACAAAGATGTGTTTTCTTGGTCTTATCATGATATGTCAGGGTTAGACACTGACATTGTGGTCCACAAGTTGCCAATAAAGCAAGAATGCAAGCCTGTGCAACAAAATATTCAAAGGATAAGGCCATATATGTTGTTAAAAATAAAGAAATATGTGAGGAAACAGTTTGATGCTGGTTTCCTACATGTAACAAAATACCCTGAATGGGTAGCAAACATAGTGTCAGTTCCAAAGAAAGATGGCAAGGTTTGGATGTGTGTTAACTACAAAGATCTCAATCGATCAAGTCCCAAAGATAATTTCCCGCTCTCACACATTGATACCCTCGGCGACAATACAGCTGGAAATGCTCTTTTCTCCTTCATGGATGGCTTCTCAAGGTACAATCAAATCAAGATAGACCCCGAAGATAAGGAAAAATCGATGTTTGTGACAATGTGGGGAACATTTTATTACAAGGTGATGCTCTTTGGATTAAAGAACGCAGGGGCAACATATCAACGAGCCATGGTTACTTTGTTTCGTGATATGATGCATAAAGAGATAGAGGTATACGTGGATGATATGATTGTCAAATAACAAACTGGATAAGAACATGTGGTAGTCTTAAAGAATCTATTTATAAAATTATGAAAATATCAGGTAAAACTTAACCTAGTCAAATGCAATTTTAGAGTTACTTCAGGGAAGTTATTGGGGTTTATAGTCGGTGAAAAATGATATAAATAGATCTTGATAAAGCCAAAACAATCTTAGAACTACCACCACCTCGAACATAAAAAGAAATACAGGGATTCTTGAGGAGGTTAAATTATATTTCCAAAGTAATCTCTCAGTTAACTGAGAAATGTGATTCAATCTTTCGTTTACTAAGAAAGCAAAATCCTGGAGTATGGGATGATAGTTTTCAAGAATATTTTGATAAAATCAAGAATTACTTGACAAACACTCTGGTCTTAATGCAACTAATCCCAGATAAGGAATTGATCTTATATTTGACTCTCTTTGAGAAGTCAATAGGATGTTTATTGGCACAACATGATGAAACTGAAAGAAGATAACGAGACATTTATTACCTAGTAAAAAATTCACTGGCTATGAGACTCGATATTCTTTGATCGAGAAATTGTGATGTGCTTTGGTATGGACTACTAAAAGGCTGAGACAATATTTGTTATATCACACCACTTGGTTGATATCAAGGTTGGATCCGTTAAAGTACATGATGGAATCATCGGTTCTAACTGGAAGAATGGCGAGATGGCAAATATTGTTGTCTAAATTTGACATAGTGTACACAAATCAAAAAGTACTAAAAGAAAGTGGCATTGCTAATTTTCTAGCAAGCAGAGCATTAGAAGACTATGAACCATTAAAATTAAAATTTCCAAATGAGGACTTAATGAGTATATTTGCTACAGAAGAAGAAGAAGAGGCTTTGAAGGATGAAGTTTGGAAAATGAATTTCGATGGTGCCTCAAATGTCGTGGGATATGGAATTGGGGCAATACTAGTTTCACCTGAAGGAGATAATTATCCTTTTACTAGTCGGCTCGCCTTTGAATGTACAAACAATATGGAAGAGTATGAAGCATGTATCTTGGGTATTCGAGCTACAATTGAGCACAAGATTAAAATCTTGGAAGTATTTGGTGATTCTGCTCTAGTCATTTACCAACTTCACGGAGAATGGATGACTCAAGACTCCAAGCTGATAGAATACAAGAATCTAGTGATGGATTTGATCAATGAGTTTGAAGAGATTACTTTCACCTATCTCCCACGCGAAGAAAATCGAATGGTGGATGCCTTGGCTACGTTAGCTTCCATGTTCAAGGCCAACGATCAAGATTAAATTATGCCCATTCGAATGAGTTTAAGAGAAATGACGACTCATTGTTTCAATATTGAAGAGGAAGAATATGATGGTCTCCCGAGGTATTATGACATTCTCCACTATGTGAAATATCAAGTTCCTTATCGCCCAAAAATTAATGGGGTAGTAGAGGCAGCAAATAAAAATCTCAGGAAGATCATCATAAAAACAACTTAAACATATAAAGATTGGAAAGAGAAATTACCTTTTGCAATGCTTGCTTATTATACATCTGTTTGCACATCGACTGGGGCAACACCGTTCTCTTTAGTATATAGGATGAAAGTAGTTTTGCCTGTTAAGGTAGAAATCCCTTCTTTGAGAGTGTTGATGGAGCTGAAACTAAATGAGACTGATTTGTTGAGTTAATCGATCGACGGAATCAGCCAAGATGGGGGTGAATTGACAATTGAAATTTTTGTGGAAGCTTTTGCAGAAAATTTAAAGTAATTGCACAGCGATTTATAGTGGTTCGACTTTCTCAATCAAAGTCTACGTCCACTACCTTAGCTATCCACACTAAGGATTTTCCAACAAATTCACTAATTTGTTTTTTCTTTTGAGGCCAAAGAGATAACCTTACAACTCCCTCAAGAATATACCCCAATTCTTGATAACACTCTTTCTTTGCAAACTTACAAGGAAATCCTCACAAGGTAGATTGTTTGTACAATTCTAGAACAAAGAAAAGAACACTAAAAAATGAATACAATTGAGTACAAGTAGTGTTCTTGAAAGCAAAATGAATATTGAATGAAAAATAGGCTTGAAATGCTCAAACTTGAGGTTTGATCCTTTCTCTTTGATTCTCTCTTGATTCTTGTTGATTGTTTTTTATCAATGGCTTCTAAGATTGTTTAAATACACCTTCAAATGATTATGAACATTGGGGATGATTAGTGGAGTTAATAGAGCCGTTTAAGTGTGAAAACAATTAATTAAAGCAGTTGGGAGCGTCAGTGCATCGATGCATACCCTAGGTGCATCAGTGTAAAATTCAAATATTTTAACCGTTGGACTCTCAGTGCATCGGTGCACTAAGAGTGCAGCGATGCATAGAATGCATTCGATGTTTGAAAAATCCTGAGTGCATCGATGCATGGTCTTGTGCATCGATGCATCAAATGCACTGAGTACATCGATGCATGGTATGTGCATCGATGCATAAAATGCATTCGATGTTTAAAAAATTAATTGGTGCATCGATGCATGGATTGGTGCATCGGTGCATCACTTTGAAAAATTGATTTTAGGCTTGATTTTGGTTCAAAATACTTTGTGGAAATTGTTTTTAAAATAGTTTAAGTATAAAACACAATTTTACACATTTAGTAAGGTTTAAAATTGATCTTGAAAGACTTGGAGTAATAATTTGATATTCGAGTAATTAAATCAAATATACTTAGAAAATCATTTGTGAAATCTTAAAATTCATTTAATTTAATTTGTTATATCGAAACATCAAAATGTTTTCAACAATCTCCCCCTTTTTGATATAACAAAACATTTGTGTAATTTTAAGATTTTCTTTAAAGATAAGTTTTGAAATCAATTTTGAAATTACTACTCCCCCTTACTATAAACTTCTCCCCTTTAAAACATTTAAAACGACATTTCTCCCCCTTTTTGTTAAATCAAAAAGACTCAAATATTTAAACAAGGTTGTGAAAAATATTTAGCCAATTGATTAGTAATATAGCTTAAGCTGCTAAGATCACAATCAAGAGAAACATTAGTCATTAGTTTCATAAGCAATATTCATAATTAAATGTGAAATGGCATAATTGGTCAAAATGAACTAATATGATGCAAAAATTAATAATCATTAAGCTCAAAATAATAAAGATCAAACCAAATATATATATCAAGTTTAAAACCACAAAGAATCCAAATTATATCTTCAAACAATCCAAATAAAAACAATAATCCTCAAAGTATTCAAAATGTTTTAACAATAAAAGTTCAAAGATGATCCAAAACAAAATAAGGTCTACTCGTCCATAGAGGGATCGAGAGGTGAAAGAGGAAATCGGGCTTGCATCTCAAGAGAGAGAGCATCCATGCGTGCAAGCATCTCCCTTTGAAATTACATCTGTCGAGCTTCCAAAGTGTCTAAGCATTGATTTACTGCTTCGTGAGTAGTTAAGTGGGATTCGATGGAAGTATACCGTAGATCAAATGTCTCCAAAAACGAACGAAAATATGGAGGCATTTGATCCTCTTGTGGAGCTGGTTCCGGTGCAGGCTCATCGTCTGGAACGTGATAGTCGATATCTTGCATAAGTTGTTGAAACTTAGGATCATCATCAGCAGCCGGTGCCGGAGGAGGAGGAGGAGCACGAGAAGAGCTAGGAGCAGCTCGTGAAGAGCTAGCTCCCAGGGTTTGCTTACTGGGTCGAAATACCCAAAGTCTGGTTTCCTCGTCTTGTTTACAATCCGCTTTCTTCAAGGAAGTAAGATTGATTTGGTTTTGGAGTGGGATAGGATTGTCGAGAGAGATGTCTAGACCAAGTTTGATAAAGAGGTTACTAAGAAGACATCCATAAACTAATGTTTCGACATGTTTTGAAGGAACAATGTTTATGAATCAACTAGTTGACTGAAGATAATATGGGGTAGATTGATTTTGATCTTATTCTTGAGACAGTGCATCCACCACAAATCCCTAATACGAAGAGTGGAGTACCTACCTCCGGATGGTCTAAACCACCAAGAGATCATCAGATGAAGAAAATGATCGTGATGAGATCGTAGAGTACTAACACTAGCATTTGGAACATAGGGATAATCTACAGTTTCATTCTCATTATATATCCCATCATCATCTAACCTAAAACGTGAAGCTATAATCGTGGGGTCAATATTAATATATTGGCCTAAAAGATATGATCTAATGGCTATAGTCCCACATTGAGTTTCATTTTGAATACATATCGCATTGGAATAGAAAATGCGGACTAACTATTGATAAACAATAGGTTTGAGCTGAAACATTTTATCAAACTTTCAAGCTTTAAGAATCGGAAGGTATTCAAAGTTAATATCTATCATAGCTTGAAGAGAAGGAATACGCTCTTTCCAGATTCTATAAGTTTGAAAAGAATTTCTGTACCTAGAGTACAATTCGTCTCTACGACGCTCAGGCGTGTTAAAACAAGATCCTAATAGATGAAGGTAGAGGAGGAATGGGATTAGGAGGTTGGTTTGAACGAGAACGACTCGACGAAGTCCTAGGGCGTTTGGGATTAGACATGGTTTAGGAATCGGAAAAATAAATATAACCTGCAATTTGAAACACATGTATGCAATTTAATCAATCCCAAAACTCAACTGAGTCCTCAATAATTCAAGGTTCGCTAAATCAAATCCTAATGGGCAAGTTTTGAAAACTATTTGAAAATAATCATAATATGTATAGTTTTCATGAAAACAACATAATTAAATCAAAAATCAAATTTAAAAATTAAATTCAGATTTTGATATAATAATTTTTTTTATTTCGAAAATTCAGAAAAATCTTTGAAAATTTGTTAGTTTTTGATGAAATTAGTTGTAAAAACTAGTTTGTAATCATTAAACATTCAATGCCCGATATAATGTTCATCTAGAACTAATTAAAACTAGTCTAAGATCAAAAATCAATAAAATAGAAGTTTTGAAATATTACCTTGAAAATTTTGGATTTGAGAGGAATGTGATGTTGTTTTGCACGATTTGATGATTAAAGTAGGATTAGGAGTTGAAAAGTTTGAAGATTCCGACAAAATTACGTTGATTTTTAGAAAAAGAGGATTTAGAGAGTGAGAGGGGCGTACGACTGATGAGGATATAGGTTTAGGGTTTGAAACAAATAAGAAAACAAGCCTTTTAAACCCAAAACCCGACGGATGCATCGATGCATAACCCCATGCCAATGCATATTCAAGGCGTGCATCGGTGCATCAACATGATGAATCGATGCACATTCAAAGGGATGCATCGATGCACTGTTAAGTGTATCGATGCATGAAGCACAAAAATGTCAAAAATCTGTTTCAAACACTTAAAATGCTAAATTAATTAGCTCTAGTGGTATTGGCAACTAATATATTGAAAATTAATCATTTTCAATCAATCAAATTAATCCTTAAGCTTCATTTGAACATAAAATTAATTTTCTCTAAAGAACATAAACTCCCCCTAACTAATAGCAATGAATGCAATTAAAAATTATCATTATATGCATTTTTCATTTTATTTTTAAAAAATGCTAAAATCATTTTAAACACTAAGTGAAGATAAGTCAGTTAAACCTAATTCTCTCCTAAGTGTCCAAAATCTTTCTTTGTCTAAAGGTTTTGTAAAGATATCCGCTAATTGGTGCAAAGTATCAACAAATTCTAGAACTACATCTTCCTTAGCGACATGGTCTCTAATGAAGTGATCTCTAATTTCAATATGCTTAGTTCTAGAGTGTTGGATGAGATTTTTAGTGAGACAAATAGCTCTAGTATTGTCACACTTGATAGGAATGGTACCTACTTCAATTCCATAATCAAAAAGTTGTTGTTTCGTCCATAAAACTTGTGCACAACAACTACCGACTGAAATATATTTCGCTTCAGTGGTAGATAATGCGACATAATTTTGTTTCTTTGAAAACCAAAATCAGCATATTTCCAAGGAATTGGCAAGTACCGGAGGTGCTTTTCCTATCTAATTTTCATCCTCCATAATCCGCATCAGAGAAGACATGTAAGCTAAAGCTAGAGTCTCTAGGATACCAAAGTCCTAAACTAGGAGTGTCCTTAAGGTATCTAAAGATCCTCTTAACAGCTAGTAAATGTGATTCCTTAGGGCATGATTGAAATCTAGCACATAAGCAAACACTAAACATAATGTCCGGTCTACTTGCAGTTAGATAAAGCAAAGAACCAAACATTGACCTATATAATTTAACATCCACACATTTACCTCCTTCATCTATGTCAAGCTTTGTC